CAATCCAACATATTGTAACAGAAGATCTGGCTGATATGAGGTGTCTTCTTATCTGAACATCTTTAATATTTAAAACCATCCTGACAATGCATGCACACATAGACACACAGACACACATATCTAGGTATGATTCCTGGGATCATGGTAACTGAAATGAAATTGGACTACCAACTACCCTCATTCATTCTGTTTCTGAGTTCAACAACCATGCAAGGAGAGCAAGGTTGAATATATTTATTTTCCCCCCTCCATTCCCATTCTTGTCATCCTCCAAAGTTGAGGGTGAATTGCTGCAAGGAACCTTTTGTAGAGGTTCTGGGTACAATATAAAAGCTTGAAATATTAAGATTCTACCTTGAGCAAAGTGGAGGTAGTGAGAACAAGAAACTATTCTGCCTGTATCAGGACAATTGGTTGTAATATTTAAATTATTCTCAAGCTACAGTCTTAACTGGAGAAAAATCTGTCTCTATTTCCAGATGGAAAGAAAATACATTGAATGAAAAGTGAGGGTGAACATAGATTGCATGTTCCACCTGCCACTGATATTTTTTAATAATGTATAGTAACTAACAGGCATACATTAGAAGGGGCTGAATGTTGCCTCAACCAAGATGATGAAGATTTAAGAAAGCCATTAAAACACCAGCTTAAATGGAACCCTGATATATAGGAAATACTGATTTCATTCCTCTTAAACTTCCTAACAAATGATCAAGTTCAAGAGCTCTTTTTATATCTCTTTTTGAGCTCTTTGGTCTCTGGGCTAAAAAGAAGGAATTGGACTTCACAAACATCTCTCTGAGATCCACATCAGCAAAACAGTCCCTCACCCCTGGAATCCCTTATGCTAAAAGAGGCAGCCAGAGTCCTGTAGCCCTGGACTGGGGAGGCTCTGGTTTGAATCCCTATGCAACCATCAAGCTCATGGGGTGATTTTTTAATAGTCCTTCTCCCATCACCTCAGTCTAGGTTGCTGGGGGGATAAATTCACAGAGACCACACTGTGCTCCCAGAGAAAAATAGGAAAATAAATGCAATCTGATAATAAGGATGTGATGGTGGCGTGGGGACAATGGCTCAGCTTCTGTGCCTTCTGTTGCCTGTCAAGGCCGATCAAAAGTTGCTAAACTTTTGCCCAAGCTGCCAGTGGTGGGCTGAAAGGGTCCTTTTCTTGCTGTTCTCTTTGCTTTCAACATTCATTAACATCTTTAGGACAGCACAGATGTTCAAGCCTGAATCTCAGTTTAAAAGGATGATTTTGCTACACGCTTCAGCAATTCTGCACACAGGAACCCAAAATCGGAATCATAATTGCTTAAATATGTAAATCATCTTAGATAACCTGCCATAAAGCTGCCACCTCAGTGCCTTCTCTGGATTATGCAAATCACACCAGACACAATGGAATGGAAAAGAAACAATTATATGAACCCTGTTCTGCGTGCACATTTAGGGGGGACATGGTCTGGCTGCTTCTTCATGCTGCTCTTGGTCTTTGATTTGACAGGAAAATTTCGGGAAGAATTCAAAGCTGCTTTTTCTTGCTGCTGCTTTGGCGTTGGCCATCACCACAATGCCCCACCCAGAGGAAGGACAAGCATGGAAAGTCGGAAATCCTTGACGACCCAGACCAGCAATTTTGACCATGCCGCAAAGCTCTCAGAACATGTTGCCTTGACCAGTATAGGCTCACTGCCCCCAAACAGCACCGGATCTGTTCAGAGCTGATCGATGGCTACTTTCTGTGATAAATCTTTGTAAATTGAAATCTGTGAATCCCTGTGAAACAGGGACCAAAAAACTTGAAAACTGCAAAAGTGAAATGACAGATTATGACAAAGCTAAAATAGACTAATATACACAATTGGATGTTTGGGTTTTTAAAAAAGAAAAAAGAAACCAGAGCTTTGTTTGGAAACGTATGTGATTTTTCACAGCATTTGCTTTTCAACTCTAAGAAATGATTGTTGGGAGACACCTGCACACACACACCTTTGCATTGGCCTGATCTTCTGCTGGGCTTGTTTCCTCCCCAAAGAACATTTCACTGTAAGGTTCAAAATAGTGAAAGTTAGTCAGAAGGTGCTTAACAATGAAATTACACATTATAATATAAATAACATGGTAGAGAAAGCACGTGGTGTGGCTTCTAACACTTATCAGCAGTGACCATAGGAAGGGTCTGCATTTGCTCTGTGTAATGAAGTAATGTATTGTGTGTGTGTGTGTATGCATGTGCATGTAAGCCTTTCTGCAGTCCTATTCTGTGACATCTTTGTGTTCGTGTGTATGTATGTCCTGGGTGGGCAGCGTATGCTCCACCTGAGTCACATGACCAGGAGGGAGGAGGGAGGGAGGGGGCTTAGAAGGGAGCACTGAGCCTTCCACGCTGGTGCCCCGTTGCCTCCCCCACTGGGCTGCACAGAATTTTTTTCTAGAACTTTTTCCTGCAGCCCCGACCCAATCTTTCTTCTGCAAGCTTCTCATGCCCCAGCAAATTTGGTCCCGTTCTATTCTGTTTTCAGAGAGTTGTCCTATTTTCAGAGAGTTAAACTGACAGACAGGTAGATTAAGGCCTAAACCCCTAAACTTTCTTTCCAACTTGTGGTTACAATAGAAACAATTAAAGAGGGTTGGGTCATTTCTTCCTTTCTTGTTTTATACCAAATTTTAATGATGGTCTGATGCCCTATTGGCTAATGGTGAACTCATTCTTCATGTCTGGAAACTTGTGTAGTCCAAACAGATGAATATGTTAGTGGATCAGGCCCCAGGCTAGAAAGCAGGAGACGGCGAGTTCTAGTCCTGCCTTAGGCCTGAAAACCAGCTGGCTGACTTTGTGCCAGTCTCTCTCTCTCTCTCAGTCCAACTCACCTCACAGGGTGGTGGTTGTGGGGAAAATAGGAGGAGGAAAGAGTATTAGGTGTGTTCACCACCTTGAGTTATTTTTAAAAATAATAAAGGTGGGATTTTAAAAAAATATTTTTTAAAAAAAGCCCAGAAAATGCTACTTGTACGAGTCACTCACCTTACTTTGGAAGGTGGCTCACTCAGAGCAGAAGAACAAATAGTCTTTAGGCAGCCTGGCTCTAGATAATTGAAAAATGTAGATACCTTGCATGTTCTATGTTCTATTTTTTCCAGAATGCTGTCAAAATAAATAAATGAATAAATAAATAAATATTAACTCCAATTGTCTAATACTGTAGATTAATATTTCTTTCCTAATTTTTGATGTGAATAAAGCCAGAGAACTTACAGCTTTCAGATGACTGAGAGATAGAGATAGAGGGATAGATAGATAGATAGATAGATAGATAGATAGATAGATAGATAGATAGATAGATAGATAGATGCTTGTTGGATGACATATATCATTAACACAACATAGTCTGTGTTTTATTTCAAAGACCTTGAACACACAAGTAAGTAGATTGAACATATTTTCGTTTCTACATTTTTCCTAGATATATCCACACCTCCCCAAACAATGGCAGTTATAAGTATAGTATGTGGAACTGTTTTGCCCTGCTGCCCAAACTTAATTTCTTTCACTTACACTTGACTTATATAGTAACAATTTATTACAAACTTTTTTGTTTGTTCTTTCCAGAATTCTAAAACTAAAAAACCATTTCATTGAACTGCATTTGAATGTTTCATTCCCCTCTCCACTTCGCATCCCCTATGAAGTCTTTATAGCCTTCCCAGCTCACCTTCACTGCCCTGGTCACTGTGGATCGCCAGATTTTGTACTATGAAAACTTTCGGTGCCCCTGATCTTTTCATGCTGATTGAGGATTATAAGAACAAGTTCATTCTTGCAGAGTGATGCCTGTACACCTTTCCTCCCACATTTACAGATTTTTCTATGGTTAAAAAATGGCATCCTAGCACACAATGCAGCAAGTTCCACATTTCTTTTCAGTGATGATAGTTCCCTTAGACTTTTGAAACAGAGCCAAGAGGTTGTCTGCCGTCACCCCAGAGTAGATCTAATTCTGTTTTAACACTCAGGAAAAAAGTTTTTTTTTCTTCAAGAGCATGGAACATAAGCTTATTTGCATAACTCACTAAACCTCAGATGTCTGGACCACAATTTTGGCTTAGCATGGTGTGCAAACCCAGTTCAGGTGGTTAGCTTATGGATCAGTGTGCCATTTGAACCCGGAAAATCAGGTTCGATTTTATTTAACCTTAAGTAACTGTGTCATCTGAACAGTGTGTTGATGAATTATAATGAAATTCAGGCATCAAGCCAAACATGACTTGACCATTTTCCTGACTTTAGTGAAAGAGTAGATAATTATTCATGAAGCATATTTGATCAGCAGCTATGTCTACCGTAGCCTGGACCGCTCCAGCAGGTGTGAAACAAGAGACAGACTGTACTATCTCTCCAGCATACGCAGAGCCGGGAGGCGGGAAAGCGAGTGGGTGGGTGAGTGTCCCGCTCTTTCGTAGCCTGACTGGACCAATCGCAAGTGTTTGCTGCAAGCGGAGCGCTGTCCAGTGGAGCTTGGTACTGAAATGACTCCTAGGTTTAAAGAGAGACTTCAGAGAGGATCAAGTGGCAACAGGCAGTTTGCTGTGCTGAGAGTCAGTCTACCTGGAACCTCCTCAGCCATGAACTCCATTCTGTTCATCACTGGTAAGTTCACTCTAGTCAACAGGAATATATCTATTGATCTCTATCATCTATCTATCATCTATCTATAGCTAGCTAGCTAGCTAGCTAGCTATGATAAAGTAAGTTGCAGTTGGGTAACCCAATTATATTTGCTATGATTGCAATCTTGCTTGCCTGGGTAAAGGGATAAAATACTTGACAGCATCAAAGTGTGCACTCAACATGTGTCTCTATCGCTTTCCCAATTTGGATGCTCTGAAAATAATAAAGGTTGTATCTATCTGTCAGGTCTTAGCTGAAATTTCTTTTCTGTCACTGTTTCTCTCTTTCCTTCTTCCCCATCCCATATAATGGTGAAGAAACTATGGCCTTAAATGTTTTTAAAGAGTGCCAGTTTGGGGTAGTGGTTGAGGCACCAGGCTAGCAACCTGGAGACTGTGAGTTCTAGTCCTGCCTTAGGCACGAAGCCAGCTGGGTGATTGGCCAGTCACTCTCTCTCAGCCCTAAGAAGGAGGAGGCAAGGGCAAACCACTTCCAAAATCTTGCCAAGAAAACTGCAGGGACTAGTCCAGGCAATTGCCAAGAGTCAAGACTGATTCGAAGGCAACAAAAGTAAGTTTTTAAAGGCTATTGTGTAAGCTTTTCTGACCATTAGGGTAGAACAGGATTTAAAATATAAATATCCAAGTTACTCTTTTGGGTTACCTCCCCAGACCTCACTTCACACTTCCCAAATGGTTGCAATTACTTCCTGTCTACCTACAGTTTTCATTTATGATCTGCATAAGAAAGTAGGAAATTGGCCCTAACCTTCTTACTTACATAAACAAACCAACAAACCACAGGGCTTGTAGAACACTTTTCCAAAGGTCCCAGAATCAGAATACTTCATGCACACTTTTTTAGCTATCTCTTATTTCACCAATGCCTATATTACATGCTAGAATTGATCATATTCAGACTTAGTTTTTTTTTTTTTCAGGAGAGAACAAGGGGTGGGCCCCATGAGTTATGTACGTTTCAAGGGGCTCGTGGAAGTACTATCACGATGAGAAAGAATAGCTGTGAGCAAGGAAAGGCTTTTTGTTTTTGTTTTTCTTCTTCCCCCTGTTCTTTTAGGAACCATTTAATTGGCTAGATTCAGATACCCAGATTTTGTCTCCAATTAAAATCATCTGCATAGACATGAAACGCAGCAGAGGGCTCTTGAAGGAAATTCAGTGAAGGAAGGGCTCCACAGTCACATTCAACATCTCATGTTGTTCTGGAGGTAGAATCACTATTCAAACCAGCACACCCATTTCAGCTGCAAGCTACATTATGTGCTGGCCAACAAAAATGTTAGAGTAATTCTATTCTGTCTCCATGAGTAGCTTTCTTGTGTCTAGGGTTACAGGTGCTCTGTAAAGCATGGCTAATCCTTTAAATGCTTCTGGCTCTTCATGCTTCCTGAATCATTTGTGCTTCTTGTTCTTGGAGGCAATGTCTGATTGGAACAGCTTTCATGTATTCCTAGTTAGGCTGGAAACAGCAAGTTGTTGATGAACAAGTGCTAACTTCACACTGCAATACCATCTCCAGAACAGCATTTGCTTGTTTGTGAGATTTTTCTTTTGGGGGAGGCTTCTTTTTGCCAAAGATGTCATCTACATCTGGCAATATATTTCAGTGAGTCTGCTGACCTACTCAGATCTATAAATATCTAGCAGACATGGAAGTGGGAAACCTTGTTTAAACAAACAGTTGTTGTTTGCTAAGTAAAAAACCTAAGAGTGTGTAAGGGTACAAGAAGAACGATTGCTACTATTATTAACATTTCCTTTTGGCCAGGCATGAAAAAAAGGGAAGGAAGAACAGTGAAGTAGGCATACAGAAAGCACTGGTACAAGGCTGAAAGGGTATATTGTGTCCTCATGATCAATAGTTTTATTTCCAGTTAAAGTTTTAAAATGTTATTTCTAAACAAATCCCGAAAAATTTATTAATCCATGTCACTCAACTCACTGTAACCTGTTGGAAAGTTGTTCCAAACCTAGAATTAAAAAGAAAAAAATAGATCAGTTTTCCTAAGCAGTTGTCTTCCAGATGTCTTGGACTTTGATTCCTACAATTTTAGACAGTATGGCAATGCCCAGGGATTGGTACCTGGTTGGAAGAGGCTGGTACAATACCATATTCCAATCTTAGTATGCGTTTTGGGAAGTTCTTCAGACAACTGTATGCTTTAAAAAAAATACCAAACAAATGTTAGCAAAGTCTATTCAGATTAGACAAATTGGATATACAGTGGTACCTCGGGATACGAACTTAATCCATTCCGTGACTCTGGATGTATCCCGAGTTGGTCGTAACCCGAAATGTTCGTTAGTAGAGGTGTTCGTATCCCGAGGTACCACTGTACATTATCAGTGTTATCATATGTTATATGAGTTGGACCAAGATTCAGTTAGAAATTTACATTTGTCACACCAGCAACAGGTGGGAAATGTCAATATGTTACTCATCTATGCAATTCAGCAGCCCAAGGATGAACCTCCTGAGGAGTTCACTGATCTAAGATTTCCTTCTAACTCCATCCTTCACCCCAAACCTAGTGAGACAGACAGTTCACTGCTGCAACTGCAACTTCATCAGATCTGGATAATGGTCCTTAACTAATGCTTTGCAAATAGACAACTATGTATTGTTACCTGAGAAGGTGTTCTTTTTGAAAATGGGATTTTCTTCAGTCTAGATTTGCATAGTACTGGGCTGTAAATGAAAGTGTGTCCTAGGAAAATTTCCCATAAGTGGGGTTTTCCAGGCTTTTTACATTGAGATTCCCATCAGTTTAATGTATCTTCGATAATAATCCATTTGGAGAGCTTCAAACTGGGAAAGTCCCAATAACTGAGTCTGAAACAAGCACAACAAACATTAACTAAAATCAAAAGTGGGATGGAAAACAAGTTGCCAAATGTTGAAGATGAGTTTGGCATCTTTAAGGAAATAATTAATATCTAGTCTCCAATCCACTGGGATATCTAGAATACAGAAGATGCTACCGGATGGATGGATGGATGGATGGATGGATGGATGGATGGATGGATGGATGGATGGAAGGAAGGAAGGAAGGATGGATGGATGATAGAGATGATAGATAGATAGATAGATAGATAGATAGATAGATAGATAGATAGATAGATAGATAGATGATAGAGATGATAGATTGATAGATAGATAGATGATAGAGATGATAAATAAGAGAAAGATAAAGATAGTTATCCTCCCTTCCATGCTAAACTGTATAACGTCCTGTTCCAACCTGTGCATATCAGTTTAACTACAGTTCTCACCATTTCCAGCCAACATGTCACTGCTTGTGTTAGATAAGGATGATGACAATTATAGACTACTTATTCGTTTGGGAAAGGCACTAGGACCAGGATGTCAGTGGACCCTGATACGAGTCTTTGTTTTTATGCTGCTAACAGTTATATAAGGAGTCTCATTTTTTAAATTGGTGCTGTCTTATGGCTTTTATGGTTGATGATGATGATGATGATGATGATGATGATGATGATGATGATGATGATTCCCATCTGTTCTGTAAGCTACCCAGGGTTATCTAGTGAAGATGAGTAGCTATATACATTTGACTGATACATGAATAAATGATTAAATCGAAATAAATAACTAACATGCAGAATGAATGCAAATGAACCACACTTTAATAAAGTTTATATTACCTGATTTGTAGTGCTGGTTCTATATTCCATGAATGAATCTACTTACCAGGCCCAGACATCAAAGTGTCAACAACTGAAAGAGAGATGTGTGGCTGCAAGAAATGGATGTGAAAGTGTCTGGAATTTACTTGAAGAAGTTTGTTACATTCCAGGTAACTTGTATAAAGCCATATATTGCAGGAAGAGTGTTTCAAATCACTACTATAAACATTATAAGTACATCAAATTTCCACTGAGATTTTTTTCCCCATTTCATCTTTTCTCATTTCCCCACAATGTTGGGGTGGGAGTAGGGAATCACGTATACGTATCTTATTCCCTGTGCAGGCCTGTTTCCATTGGAATATATGGGAAAGCTCTTACAGATGGAAAATTGCATTCCCATATCACTTCAAAGTTTTTGCATATACATTCAATTGTTCATCTTGGTGTTCTGAGCTTAATCTGATAACAGCAAGAAGAATATCAAGCTCAGAGACACAAAGAACCCCAAAATTCAACTCTGGGCTACATATATTCTCCACCCTTGCATACACATTTAATTACTGGGCTGATTATTCTCACATAAGTATGTTTAGGGTCATAGGCTCAGCCATGTCTTTGGGAATTAGGTCATTAGTCATACTGCCTATGATAATGTAGCTTGCATTTCTAATGGCGATAATATTGACTCTCTCTCTCTTATGTTCTTGACACGTTAGTAAGATATCTTCTTGAACAAAAATGAGACACCAGTGTAGTCACATTATTAAAAAATGGACTAAATAATACTGCTGTTAACAAATCCCAAGAAAAAAATCCTCTAGGTCAAATTATAACCTATAGTGTGTCAGATATTTGTGTTTAGTCAAAAGAATATAAAAAGTTGAATCAATCACTAGTGATTCCCTCAACATGTACTATATTTAGATCAAAAATTGAAGGGAAAATCTTTCCACCCAAATGTATCTGCTGTATTGCCAACACTTCCACTATTCCATAAAAATGGAAACAATGAGAAAAAGTCAGACTTGGGCAAAATTATATCTCTGGCATTTTAGCTGAGCAGCTGAATCAATCTTATGAATAACCTTCATGATACCTGTAAAAGAAAGGTATGCCATTTAACACAACTCCTAATCAGGTGAAGAGTATATTAAAGTCTTGTAATTTTAATAATTAAATGCTGAAGCCCATCCAATCTGCATCTGAACTGCGATCTCCCTGTCTCTGAGTAACTTGCAAATATTGCACAAAACTAAAAATGCCCCTTCAGTTGGCTGGATGATTTTTAGTGACTTGGCTGAATTATTTTCAGCAGTGTACTCTTTTCCAGACTATTGAAGATGTCACACAACCCTTCAGGTCAAGCTAGGAACAAGAGCATCTATACAGTAGTTGGGTACACACAGCCTGCTAAGACTGAATATAATACAGTGGTACCTCGGTTCACGAACTTAATTCGTTCCATGACTCTGGTCGCGAATCGAATTGATCGTGAACCGAATCAAATTTTCCCATAAGGTTCAATGTAAATACGGTTAATCCGTTCTGAGCCCTGCTGTAC